GGTGAACATCCGGTGTGCTCCGTCCCGGCTTTGTAGGGATGCGAGGTCACCAAATCACGGCATGCACGGCTACGAGTACCCCCCCCCGCCCTCCCCGAGCTCACCTGCATCTCCAACAGCTCCGCCGGGGCGACCGACCTGAGCGTGTCCATCATGGCCGGCCCCACCTCCTCCGGCGGGAAGGAGAACGAAAAGGTCGGCCAGTCCACCCTCTCCGGCAAGGGCCTCACCATGTCCCTCGACACGAACACGGGGATGGCGCCGGCGCTCATCACCTCGGCGAGGCGGTACGTCGCGGGCTGGCGGCCTGCGGGCACAAGGCCGAACGTCGTGTTCCTGCGGGAAGGGGGGGACACAAGACATCGTGCGCGTATTAAAAAAACGAAAGTCGTTTTTTGTTGGGGGGGGGGGGGGGGGGTCGGAGTGATTGAGTGAGCTTCGTCACCGGTGGTGTGCCATGGGCAGAAGGCACACGCAGAGACATCGTGCGCGTAACAAACGAAAAGGCGTTCTTCTTTGTTTGGGGGGAGGGGGGTCGGAGTTCAACGTGGTCTTCCTGGGAAGGGCACAAGACACACGCATGAAGACATCGTGTGCGAAATATAAACGAAAGACGGTTCCTGAGGCACAACGCGGTCGGGGGAAGAAAAAGTTTGTCACGGCGGAAAGGCGGCGCGGTATCTCGACCGACAGAAAAAAGAGGGGAAAAAAAAAACGTACATGAGGTTTGTCACGGCGGAGAGGCGGCGTGATTTCTCGGCCGAGAGAAAAAAGACGGAAAAAAACACGACAACAACGTACATGAGGTCCTTGAACTCGTGCCGCGACGCTGTTTCGTTGAGGGCCAGGCAGAACTCCTCGTTCTCCGGCAGGAGGTGCTCATCGTGCATCTCGAAGCAGTTGAGCCCCATGATCACCCCCTCCGGCTCGGAGTGGAGCGGGACGATACTCATCCGCTCGTCGTACCCGACGCCCGACAGGTAAAGGTTGCCCTGCAGAGAGGGGGCGCCGCCGAACGTAAGCATGTCATAGGTGTGTGTGCAAGGACGGAGCGGGGGGGGGGGTCCTACTCTCATGTTTTGCATGCCTTAACGGCTAGACCATTGACCACGCGTCCTTGAGAGGGCGGAACATAAATCCCACAGGACCGATCACCGATGGCCCGGAACGGGGGGGGGTCTCCATGTTTGGAAAGGGAGGGGGTATTGTAAGGCGGGGGGGGTTCAGTGTATGCCGTAGTCGTTAGACCATTGACCTCGAGGGGGGGGGAGGGGTTCCGTGTATGCCGATCGGGAAAGGGGTTCACATCTGCCGACGGAAAAAAAGAAAGAAAGAATGAAGCATCTCGCTGCTCTTAACCGTCATTCGCGGGAATCCCACGGGCCGCTACTACTGGACCGAAAGGGATTTTCCTCTTCGCCGCCCCTGTACTAATGTCCCACTCACCGCCCCCGATCGTTCCGTGTACCAAAGGGCTCGCGACGCCTCGGAACTTAAAACTAAGGTCGGTAGATAATCGCACGCAGGTTTGCCCCAGCGGCGACAAAAAAAACATTTGCGGGTAAACAAGCGCCGTACCAATACCACCAACACCGCCCCCCCGTCCCCCATTGTACAGGATGCAGCGCACCCTCCATGCGACTCGCCGAATACCTCACGACGCTTCGCACTTGATGATGTGAGCGCCTGGTCCGGTGAGAACCCGGCAAGCTCCGCCCCGGCTTTGTAGGGATTCGAGGTCAACAGTCTAACGACTACCGCATGCACCACTATGAGTACACCCCCGTCCCCCATATCGCTCCGTCCCGGCAGCATCGTAGGGATTCGGGGTCAATGGTCTAACGACTACGGCAGGCGTTTACATGACTACACCCCACCCCCGGACGACAAGCGTTTTGAGCCACATTTGGCGAAGTAGGGAGAAACGGATCAGCCATCATCGGTGATCGGTGGCCCTGCGGGAAAACTGCTCCGTCCTCTCTCGAGGACAGGGATTCAACGGTCTAACCGCGAAAGCATGCGAAAAACATGAGTATACCCCCCCCGTCAGGGGAGATGTTTGAGGCATGGGGTAGCCAGGAGAAGACGTTAGCTGTACTGGGGCATAGGAAGTGGGTTGAAAAGGCGGGAAGTGATATCGGTAGGATAGATAGACTAGGGACGACATTTTTGAGCCACCTTTGGCAAAGTAGGAAGGAACGATTGACCATCGGTGATCGGTCCTGTGGGAACAATGCTCCGTCCTCTCGAGGACGCGTGGTCAACGGTCTAACCGCGTAGGCATGCGAAAAACATGAGTAGCCCCCCCCCTCCCCCCCCGACAAGCCCGATTCCACGTCATCGCTCGTGCCCAGCGCGCGCGGGCCAACTCGCCTAAACAGCGGTTCCACCAAACGCTCTTATTCACACCTCCCTCTGAATCTCCCTGGCCTTCCGCGACAATTCGCACCTTCATCGTGAGGAAGTAGTCCCGATGCCAGGGGGCGAGGTCGGTGAGGTTCCCGAACCCCCGCTGGTGTCGAAGGGGCACCGCGAAATCGTAGCCGGAGCGGTAGAAGCAGGAACGCATGTTCGAGGACGCGTCCATGGCGGCGCTTCCCGCTATCCACGGCTTCTTGTCACTTTGAAAAACACGCACACAAGAAATGGGAGGGACGGGGCGGGATGGGGAAGGTGTTTTGGATGTCGGCGGGCATTGGGTAAAGAGTGCAATCGAGCAGGCCGACTGCGTAGCTCTCGCCAAGCAGCAAGTACGCGAGGGAGTGGGCTCTCTCGTCAAAAATTGTAGACACTGCTGTTGTAGCTGCTGTACACGTAGGCAAAGCTGCGGGCGTGTCAAACTGACGACATTCCTTCGTCAGTTGCCGCCGCCCGAGCGTAGGATGCAAACGTCGCTGTACATGCGGAGTTAGTCTTGAGGTGGGAATGCGGCTGCAATAGCATTCGCGCAGAGGCAGCAGCAGCAGCAGCAGCAGCAGTCGCGCGAAACCAGCGGCAGCCTAGTCGTCACCGCCGCTGCTTCCTACACACGACGCCTATACACGTATCAGCCGCGCTTTCTTCGTGCCGTGGACACATCTACCGGCACACCTCCGTGCGCAGGTGTTCGTCCGCTATGGCGGCGTCGATCAAAAACTAGATGCAGCTGGCAGTGTGCAACGCTGCTGCTGCTGCTGCTGCAACACCCACCGGGCGCGGTCGGTGAGGTCCACCATGACGTGGTTCTTTCCCCCGTTCCACAGCGGCTTCTCCGCGGGGCAGGGCACGTGGTCCAGCCGCTTGTTGACGTGCAGAAAAAGGCAGGCGTCCCAGTAGGTCTCCGAGAGAACCCCGGCGTCCCTCGCCGCCTCCCTCCACGTGTGACTGAGCACCAGGCTCTCGTTGCTGGGGGGCAGCGCCGAGCTGTCGGCGAGCGAGCACGTGACGTCGAAGACGTAGATGGACGGCTTCGACGGCGATCCTCCGGGCGCGTGAGGCCGGCAGCGGCTGCGGTCGAAGCACGGCTCTGCCAGCGGTGCGCCGCACGCCATGCTCGGGGCCACCGCGGCCATGTCGATGGAGGAGCAGCGGCTTCCGCGGGTGGGCATCCCCTTCCACCTGGGCGCGAAGGCGGTGTCGACGGGGCGGACGTCCTCCTTGTTGTCCCCGAGCGCTTCGGCGGCTTCCACCACGGCTGCCGCCGCCACCTTGCTCTCTTGGTGTTGCTGCTGCTGCTGGTCGGCTGCTGCTGTGCCGTTGAGGCGGAGGGCCTCGAGGCGGACGTTCATGATGTCGGCGCCCGTCAGGTAGTCCCAGACCTCCGGCGGCCGCGGGACCGGCTCCATGCGATCTGGGATGGGATACCGGTCGTCGTTCAACCCCGGGTCGTCGTCATCGCCGCCCCAGTGAAGAAGAAGCACGTTGCCCTTGCTGTTGCTGCTACCAGGTTGCACCGCATCTTGACTGAACTCTGCCCATCCCAATGACCAAGCGCACCCTAGCAGCACGCATGGGGCCGCCCACAGGAGGTGTAGAGCGCGGCGCCTGCTTAGGCTCACCAGCACCGTGGTGACACGATCCCGGCACGACGGTCGCGGGAAGAAGAACGGCATGTCGTGGTTTCACCCAACCAGGCACGGAGGGGGAGGGCAGGCCGGGTCTGAAGGCACTGCTGGTGGTGTGTGGGGCCCAGCTGGCTTTTTTCTTTTTTTCCCTACTCTGTACCTGGTATAATAAAAAGATCTGCCGAAAGCGAGGGGGGGGGTGCTTTCCCAAAGAATATCTGCGAAGTCCCTCTGTCTTGGGGTGCATTAGTCCCTCTTGTATTATGCCAGAGGCTCGGGCAGTGCAGCGCACTCAGCCGACATCGCAGCACTGATGTCGACTCCACAAGCACGGCAGGGATCGTCTTATGCCAGCGACGGATACGGTTCTACGAAGATGTCTGCTGTGAGTTGTGTAGAAACAAGTTGGTGACGGAAGTTGATGCGGTCTTGCGCAGACATTTCACTGACACACTTTGATTGACTTGTTAGATGCGTTGTACAAGTATGAGTGATGTAGGACTGATGATGTACTGCTGTAGATTTTGTTCCACCTTCCATGAATTTTACAATGTTATTCCTAATATGTCTAATAAACCAGCAAGCTGTCAATAGACACTGCGCCGTGTCCCCTGTGAAGGTTACAATTTACAATACACGGCACAACGGAGGGTTTCTCCCCGATATTTTGCCGTTGACCCAGTAGAGAACTACAGGGGATGTATTGTAAAATGTAAGTTACCTATACAGATGTTTTTGTACTTGACCAGCAGCTCCAACTGGCATGATTCTCGTTGCAGCAACATGAATCGATGAGAGCACAATTTTAACCGGAAACATGACATTCGGCGCACACTTCTACAACAACTACCCGAGCTGCCCCGCCGTGTTTTTCTACTGCTGCTGCTGCAGTAGACTGCGAGAGATGGCACCGGGTGCAATCAGGCTTTCAAAACACACCAAATATCTCTCTCTCTTTTTGTTGTGCACCCCGATAGGTCCCATCTTCACCGATACCGGTGTGGAAAATACCTTTGGATCATTCATTTCGGTTCTCCAGCTTTTTTTCATGACGACCCCGGTTGGTTGCGATCTCTCCGACTGGTGCTCGAGTTACTGTACTCGCTTAGGGATACTGCACACGCATGTACTCTTATTGGGAATTGACCCCTCGCCTCTAAATTGGCTTTCTCTGCTGGGGCCATCTCCAAGCTCGAGGCCTTGGCAAAGAACGTCGTAGACACAGTACTACCTTTACCATTAGACCCTCTACGTATTTTCAACGTAGAAAGACATAACGTGTGCGTACAAGTATGGCGAGATACGTACAAAAGTATTCCCACCACGCCTGTATCGCCGCTTTTTTTCTCCGTTATGCCGCCTTTGACGGGTGGCTCTGTTCCGGCGGAACTGGTACCTCTAGGGCACACGGTAGCACCTGCTTTCCTGCGGTATCCCCCCTCCGCAACTCGTTCCCAAGCAAACTGGAAAAAGGCATGAGATGCGCCTGGTGCTTTCTTCTTCTTCCGTCAAGCGAATGGCCTATATTTCCGTAGTGCACGGACAGCTGCTGCGGGACTTGCGGTTGTACCTCACGCAGCATCGTCGTTTGGGAATGGAGTTGAATCAGAGCTGGGACGTGATACCAAGCTACGGTAGCACAACGCTGCCCCTCCCGCGGCTGCCGTCGCGGACGCCGCTGTTGCTGTTGCCGTAACTCGCAGCCGACGCCGGACCACCCCCTGATGGTGAAGGAGAGGACAGGTTCCTCGGTAAGGCCCTTGCAGCTGGCCTACATGATCTACGGGGGCAGGGAGGCCTTCGAGCGCATGAAGGAGATCCAGGCGGAGATGGAGGCCGAGCCCGTTTTCGATAGGTAATGTAGGCGTGTGTCTTGTGTGTTTTCCTAGTTGGAATCGACGGAGCTAATCGGCTGACCAATGGAATGACGTCATTCTTTTTGTTGTTGTTGTCTTCGCATTAAGGGCGCGGGGGGGGATCGCTTGACCTCCTCTGAAAAATCCAAGAAACGCCTGCATATCTCAGTTTTCCAAAAGTCTAACCCCAGTAAGAAACTACGATCGCAAATTATCCGTCCGCCACCGTCGCTTGTATACAATGTTAGCGTCGGAGATTGTAGCCCTTTGTAATACACGGCAGACTAGCGGTCCGCGATTTTCCAAACGATCCTTCTGTCATCGAGATCGGTGTGCAACAAGCAGGAATTTTGAAGGTGCTGTGCGGTCCAATTTTGAAACGCTTCAAGCACACAGCAACAGCGAATCAGCGCCTATGTGAGAGTGCGGGGCCGCGAACTTCAGCGCAGCTCTTCCCTCACGTGTCCTACTCGTCGCCATAGTCGATTTGAATGCCTGGGGTCATGTATCCGTAGGTCTAGCCATAAGCAATGGTGCTTGAAGCGTGTCAAAATCGGACCGCACAGCAGCTTCAAAAATCCTGCTTGCTGCACACCAATGTCGATGATAGACGGATCGTTTGGAAAATCGCGGACCGCTAGTCTGCAGTGTATCACAAGGGCTACAATCTCCGACGCTAACATTGTACACAAGCGACGGCGGCGGACGGTTAATTTGCGATCGTAGTATCGTACTGGGGTTAGACCTTGGAAAACTGACATGTGCAGGCGTTTCTTGGATTTTTCAGAGGAGGTCCTGCGATCCCCCCCCCGCGCCCTTAAAAAGCGTTCCGATCTCTCTGCCTAGTACCCCAAATCTGTCCGTACTGGTGTTGTACCGGGATAGAAAGCACGGACCACTTCGTGTTGTGTGTGCATCCGTTGTTGCTGCTGCTGTTGCTGTTGAAATCGCTGCGCCCTTTCGCTGCTGCTGCTGCTGTTCGTTTGTTGTCGTCGCCGTTGGTGGGGGGATGGACAGTGGCGTTATCGTCACTGAACCGGTTTGGGCAGCGTTGTCATTAAGGGAGTGAAGAAGACGAATTTTGATGACGAATTTTGAAAACAAACGCAAGAGCACCAGAAATTGCACAACAGACACACAAGGCCAGTCGGAAGGCACATCGCGAAACACAGAAAATTGTTGATTCTCGCACAGGGCGGCAGCAGAGGCTGCTCAAAACATACTTTTCACGCGTCTATCTCCGCACGCCTCCTTTGCAACCGAGAGAATAATTCACAACATTCTTAAGTCAAGTCAAAAGAGCCAAAACGAAAGGCGCTCAAACAAGGTCAGTTTTGAGGGTTAGGTGGCGCATTCTATTGTCATCAGTAGAAGACACCATCAAGAGGCGTCGTGCGTGCTGACACGTTCAGGTTTGCTGCTGGAGCTGAAATATCGAAGGTCGCAGCAGCCTTTGAAAACAGTCTGAAATCTGCGCCGGAACCAAGCGGCAGCCAAACATTTGTCACAGCCGTACTCGCCGCCGCTGACCCCAATCTCCTCAACTGCGGGTTCACAGCAGTAGCTGATGCCACTATAATAGCTATTGCTGGCACCCGTCCTTTCAGGAGATTGGGGTCAGTGGCGACGAGTACGGCTGTGACAAATGTTTGGCTGCCGCTTGGTTCCGGCGCAGATTTCAGAACTGTTTTCAAAGGCTGCTGCGACCTTCGATATTTCGGCTCCAGCAGCAAACCTGAACGTGTCAGCACGCACGACGCCTCTTGATGGTGTCCTCTACTGATGACAGGAGAATGCGCCACCTAACCCTGGCGGGGAGGTTGTTTTCTTTCTTTGCATAGAGGATTAAAGTATGGGGAAAAAGCCAGCATCACAACCCCTTTTCTTCACCCCCTTAAAACACTCCTTCGTCTTGCTGCCGCCTGCATTCAGCAAATAGTCATGGCTGTGGGGGGGCCCCCGTTCATTTTGTTGTCACACACACCGTTCCTTCTTTTGGTTGCTGCTCAGGGACGATCGACCGTTTCTCGACCACACCCAGCGCTACCTTCGCTCGGCGGAAAAGATGGCTCGCTTCCACAACAAGTGCAGGGAGATGGGCCTTACAGACCCCCAGGTGTGTTTTATCATCTCGTAACGTTGTGAGCTCGTTCATCGCGCAACCGCGCACTATTTAGATAGCGCGTCCGAACGGTATGTGTGTTGTTCAAAGGGATATTTTTTTTTTTTCCAAGTTTCTCCCCCTCCCCTTTGTGTTCGACAGTGTAAACGCATAGATGCAACCACGGAGAGACTTCACCTGTTCGAGATAGTACCCCCCCCCCCCCCATTCGAAAGCGGTTGCGTTGAAGCTTCGAAAGCGGTTGGTTGCGTTGAAGCCTTTCATATGAGTGGTAGGGGAAAGAAACGTTGCTGGATACCCGGCGTACAGTTTCATTTGCCCCGTTGTTTCAACGATCGAGGGCGGTAAGGCGGCACTCGGCGTGGCCATGTAGGCGGGTGTATCGGTGCTGGATGCATGTTGTTGGCTCGCGTCAGCACAGGGGGAAGCAAGCCGCTCGGTCGGTTTGGGTCGGCAGATTCTAACCGTAGTCGAGTCGCCATTTTCGGCACAAGCCAGCCAGTCGGGACCGCTGTAGCTGCCGCTTTTTCCGCAGCACGCTTTGCGGTCGATGCGAACAGAGCACAAAACACTGTTTATTGTTTCGACGTTCCCGCGTATATACAAGAACTACGCGACAGCAAAGAGCAGCAGCAGCACCAGACAACGCAAATATAGCATGTTCGCATACAACCACGAACACGCACACAAAGGATGAGAGCAAACATGAACAACAAACAACTACAAACAACAGGAGATAGCCTGGGCGTACGTGGCCATCGACGAGGTGCTCCCCACCGACGTCCACATGGCCATGGTCGTCCCGGCCCTGCGGTACCAGACGTCCCCGGAGCAGCGGGAGGCCTGGCTGCCTCTCGCCACCTCCTTCCGCATCCTGGGCGCCTACGTCCAGACCGAGCTGGGCCACGGGTCGAACGTCCGGGCGCTGGAGACCACGGCTACCTTCGACAGGGTGAGTGAGTGTTTGAGCCCGGAGTCTGGAGACCATGCCTTGTGTGTGTGTTTTTTTTTTCTTTTTTTTTTTCGTGTTGTCTAGAGCATCGACCGCGCTACAGTGCTGTTGTAATCGGCAGACCAATAAAAAGATTACGTCAGTCTGTGGCGGCGGTGTGTGCGTGCGTGTGCCCCCGCCACCCCCGTCCCGTCCCTGGCTGGCTCCCGTGTGTGTCTGGTTGGTGGGCGGGCGGGCGGCGCGCGAAAGAGATCCCACAGCTGTCGAGTGGTTGTGTGGTGGTGTGTATATGACGTGATGTGGTGCAGGGGGCGGGGGCGGGGGCGGGGGCGGGGGGGGTCGTGCTGCTGCTGTTGTTGTTGTTGCTGTTGTTGTTGTTGTTGTTGTTGTTGACGGTGGTGATGGTGATCCTGTGACGGCTGTCGCCCCGCTGTGCTGCTCGATACGCATGTCTGCCGCTCGAATCCGCAGCGGCCGCGTTGGACAGCGCGAGCCATGACTGTCTTGTCGTGTTGTGTTACGAAAGCAAGAAAGTACGGCACTTTCGTGGATCTTTCCCCCTGTAGTCTTGGGGTGACGGCGTGTCCATGATATTGCCGCGGTGTCGTGTCCCCGCATGCTTGGTATGTAACCCTGGCAACAGTGCGTGCGGGCACAAACATGCCATAATAGGATCTTGACGGCTCGCGTGGGACCGAGATGGCTGGAGTTTGTTGGACCGCACAGCTGCTGTGTACCCGTAACAGTGTTTGTCGTGCGAACGGGGAACGGATTCAGATGGCAGCTCGCGAGGAACACCTGCATTTCTGCGCAGGTGCCGCCGTACACTCGAGCCACGCCTTGAGATGACACGCGTACTTTACGCGCGAGGTTGTTCATCTTCCCCTCCGACTCGTAAGAGTTTTTTGCTCTCTCTCCTCTCCGTGCCATCCTGCGAAACACGCACACGTTCTCTCCCTTGCCTGCATGTTGCATTTTGTGCACCCTCCCCTACCGACCATCAGTGGTCTAACAACGTGCCATCCTGCGAAACACGCACACGTTCTCTCCCTTGCCTGCATGTTGCATTTTGTGCACCCTCCCCTACCGACCATCAGTGGTCTAACAACGTGCCATCCTGCAAAACACGCACACGTTCTC